AAATCTTTTCAATAATTATCGATATCGATCAATATGCATTTTTTTTTATCGATAAGCTTTTTTTCTATATCGCCCAGCCCTAGATGAAAACACATTTTTCAGTTTTATTTTGGTTCTAAGCTGTTGGTTTTGATTTGTTGCTGTTCAGCTCAGCACATTGCAGTTCTTGTATTTAATCATTATTTGGGTGGCAGTGCATTATGACTCTGATTTATAAATGCTAAGACTATGTACATGGAACATTAAGGGGAGTCATCCACCAATTAAAAGAAAAAAGGTCCTTTTAGCCCTTAAAAAGGAAGGAGTAGACATAGCGCTGCTACAGGAGACATTTAAATGACTCAGAACATTTAAAATTGCAACAACGCGGTTTTGAACATCTTTTCTTCTCTTCTTTTACTAACAGAAGTTTACTTTAATTTAAATAATCTGTGCCCTTTAAAACCAGACAATGTATTACGGATGCAAATGGGAGGTACATACTCATTAGAGCAATGATAAATGGGGAAGAATATGGCATATTGAATGTTTATTTCCCACCGGGTCACACTATTAACTTCTTAACAGAAATATTGGTAAAACTTGCAGGCCTCTCCCTGGAAAATGTTATCATAGGAGGTGATTCTAATTGTCTTAGGAATCCACTGATTGACCGACTCCCCCTTTGCTCCCTTCGTATTTTTAGAGAAATGACAGCAGATTTTTGATCTTTTACAGGAGGGGCTTGGGGTGTCCATTTGTTCCCAGGCAAGGAGGAGAAACAGAAAAAGCACATTTTAATAGTTTTTTATTTTATTTTTGTCTTCAATAAATCTATGTTTAGGCCTGGGATTACTCCACCATTAGTCCACTCTTACCCAGGTAGCGTCCAGCTGAGGCCCTGGAGTCCACAGCCACGATGACTCCATGCCTAAACTTGAAGGCCAGGGTGGTGGTGCCATGGTTCAGGTCAATACTCACCCCTCCCTCACTGTTACAGGACTGCAGGAAGCCTGAGGGCTGCAAAGACAAACAGGACTGATTAATGAGTTAATTGGAGGGATGGAAATGAATCCTGTCAGCAGTAATATTATAGCTCAAACTGTAACTTTTGACCGTTTATGATTTAATAAGAAACCTAACTAGTCCCAGCAGTAGAGACGCGTAAAAACAACGCGTAAAGCAACTCGACCCGCGTCACGCCTCAGTGCCTAACATTAAAACATTTTCTGCTTGTAGTTTCTAATTTAAGGTAAAAATGATAGTAGTCTACTCACCTCTTCTCCTACAGGAACAGCAAATTCCTGAATCTTGGTTCCAAAACTGTAGTGATTGGTTCGGTCAACCAGGTGCGTCTGTCTGCGGCCGAAAATCTGCCCGATGGGTTCAGAAAAAGGTTTCAACCCGCTGACTTCCACCAGAGCCATAATGTTTCCTACCAGAAAATTAAAATCGAAGAAAAATCTGAATTTATACTATTGATATTTCCTGAAACACAGAAGGCAGGTTACAGCTCCTTGGATAGTTTCCTCTTACGTGACAAAGAATCCGAAAGTGAAAGAAATCTATGAGGTACATTGAAATAATGATCATATATATTATCAGTAAATGGATTATAAAAAAGTATTAACATTTCTTTGAAATTCAAGCTTTCTTTTTTTGCTATAACAGTGAGGTAAACTATTATTGAGCTTTAACTGAAGTTTGAATTTAAACAAAAAGTTAACGCATTATAAACCAATAGAAAGCGAGTATTTTACAATCATCTGTCTCTGGGCAGAAAAGCATAAACTATGTTTTTAAAATCTCTATATCTGCGTAATACACAATGGCATACATTTTTTTCAGAAATGAATTTTGAAATAATTTATTATGTTGCATAGTGTCTTGTATGAATTAAATAACAACATACATAATAGGCTTTGTTTAAAATAAGAAAGTTGAAAGTAAAATAGAGAAAAATAATCACAACAAAATATAATTAGATTTTTTTGCATATTTAATATTTTTTACTGAATTATTTCACAACAGTTAAGACAGAGAGACAGCGCAATATAAAAACCATTGCCTGGTTTCACCATTATTTCCAGAACCCATCTTGTTTTTAAAAGACACTTAAAAATGACTGACTCTTTAGTATTTGGGAGTTTATAAAGTGAAGCTTTTTATTAAAGATCAGGCGGTATCCATCTTCTGCACAGACTCTTGAACGACCTCCAGCTTTAAGGGAACAATTTTCTCTGTTAGAACTGCCGTCGTTCCTGGACGATACTTGTATTTTATTTTCCTAAAAGACAAGGAGCAAAAAAAAAGTCTCATTCTAATTTATACTGAAGTATGCACTTAAAAGGTACTTAGCGTTTTTCACCAACAAAAATCAAACTCTTGTGAAAGAATAGAAGCACAAGACTTAACACTCCTATGTTTGCATATTTTTTTCAAACTTTTGTACATAAAAACGGAAATCATTTTCAAGGATTTAAAAACTAAACAGGAAAATGTTTAGAAACCATCCTAAGAGATTTGTGCAGAGTTCTTATTTAAAACATGTTTAGATTAAAGAATTTATTGGGAATCTGCTCTTTCAAAAGCATGTTCGGAGTTTTGGTCAGTCAGATGTCTGTCAGACGTCTAGCAGCCAGGCGCGCTGGAAGCTTTTTCAAGCGAGGGGGGCTGATGGCTGGGTTGGAAAACACATGACGTCATTATGTTAAGGGCTGTGGCTGACGTTTTTAACATAATATTGTAGGCCTACATTTGTCGCCAAAAACTGCCATTTAAAATGCATCGGAACAAAGCATCAACATTTTAAACTATTATTTCTTCTCTTTTAATCATTCAAAACAAACAACAGCTCCCAATCAACAGGATCAGGAATACTTGAATAAAACATGGCCTAAATATAGCCTAAACTTAGCATTGAACGTCTTGAAAGTCTATTCGACTATGGATATGGGGAATGATTTCATATCTGAAACAAAAAACACAAAAAGAAAAAAAAAAAAAAACTAA